ATACGTAACTCAGTTGCAGTTTGTCCCCGGCCCTGGCTGGGTCGTGCGGGTGGCAACTACTCTATGTGTTCCTTTCACGTCTATGTTTCTCTCTCTCTCCCTCCCACTCTATCCAAACAAAATATCAAAAAATGTCCTTGGGTGAGGATAAAAGCAAAAACAAAAACATACTAAAAAACAAAAATGAAGAATGGGATTTGGAGCCAGTCTGCCTAGATGCAAAGCCTAGGTCCTTCACTTAATATGGGTGTAATCTTGCACAATATACCTGGTGTCGCATTCCCTATGGCCACATAACAAATACCCCCCAAACTTCATGGCCCATTATTCTGTGTGTGAGAAATTTGGACAGGACACTGCAAGGCCAGCTTGTTTCTTGTCTCATTCTGAACCATCCTCTGGACAAGGGAGAGACTAGGTCTTGGAATCATCTTCAGATAACTCATTCTCTCACGATTGATGCTGACTATTGTCTGAGACCTGGGCTAGGGCTGTTTGCTGGATACCTACCTACATGGTCTACATCCCTCATAGCAGGGTGGCTGGTTCTAAGGATGAATGTCCACAAAGAGATGGCCAGGAAGAAGCTGTATGCTTTTTTAATAAGCTAGATTTTCATAATAAACTGTCTTTTAAAAAACTACCTTTTAAAATAAACAAGTGTGGGACATCACTTCATTAATCATTTCCACCATATTCTATTGGTGGGAGAAGCCACAGTCTACACAGATTCAAGGGAAGGAGAAACAGACTGTGCTTCTTGTTATGGAGTGAAAAGGTTCTGGGAGAACATGTGGAATATGAAAGTATTTCTGTGGCCATTTTTGGAAAATACAGTTTGCCTCACCTGACTTCTCTTTGCCTTACATTCCTTTTCTGTAAAATAAGGATAATAACATAACTGAGAGAATTGCTATTGTCCCAGTTCTTTCCATTATGTGTGAAATTTGTAAGTTAACATTCAAGTTCAGCCTTATTTCTAAGTTCTTGTATATATATATCACAAGGTGAAACATAAATAGATGATATATGCTCTATATTTTTGTCCAAAATAATCTCTATTATAATTTTCTGTTCCCCAAAGGGGAAAGGAAGAGTGAGCCCAACTGGCGTGGCTCAGTTGGTTGAGCGTCACCCCATGCACTAAGAGGTTACCAGTCTGATTCCTGGTCAGGGCACATGCCCAGGTTCCAGGCTTGATCCCTGGTAGGGGAAGTAGAGGAGGCAGCCAACTGGTGTTTCTCTCTCACATCAATGTTTTTCTCTCTCTCCCTGTCCCTTTCTCTCTCTCTAAAAATAAATAAAAAACATATTTAAAAAAAAAAAAAGAATAAGAAAGGACAAGTGAAAAAAATGGAGAATTACTATTTGGATACCTAAGGGGAATCTCAATCTACCTTCATTTTTCAGCATTTTTTGTGACAGAGGGGAAAACCAGGTCTTTCTTTAGCAATGGTTTCTCAATACTTTGGGGATCATAGGCTAGTTAATTAGGTGAACCAAGAAAAATGCTGAGTTGTTCACATACTTTGTGAAAGTCAAAGATGCACCCAGAGAAAGTACTCTTACTAAGAGTATAGACAAGATGGTATATCCTTAGAATTATTGGTGCAAAAACATATTGTGCAAATTCTCTTTATATACTTAAGATCTTCACCTCTCAAGTAGTATAGTGTCAGATAATAAATATTTCCTTCATTATAATAGGTGGTTATATTGTCAATAGGTTATTTCATAGCTGTGAGCAAAGAAGCTGTGTAGTTTTAAAGTACTAAATATATGCATTTCCTAACTGGTATTCTGTTTTCATTCATTTATTTACTGAGAACATGTTCACCCATGTCAGCTCTGCTCTGTGCAACATATCTTAGAGTTGAACAAAATGATGGTTTCATCCTTCATGTAGCTTATAGTATAAATTTTGTTCAGCCCATTATAAACATAATTTTTATTTTCTAATGAAATATTGGGATAAGAAGCTGCAATATCCCCCAAACATCAAAATTTAACAAATAATTTAAGATAATAGAAAACAAAGTATCATCAAGCTAAGTATTCTTTTTAATAAATTCTAGGTAACATGGAAACTATTAATGGATATTCACCATGTTTCTTCTCTGTATCAAGCCATATTTCTAATGTTTCATCATCTTGATAATCATTAATAATGGGAATTGAATAAAAACTAATAAATCTGGCTTTGAGAAAGTATTATATTTAGACCTTTTGGGTGAATTTAAAACATATGGAAAACAAATACATGGAAAAGATTTATATTCTACTTTCTAATTATATATTCATGTGAATTTTAATATAAATTTTCCCACAAGACCACAAATTTTTGAGGTTCACAATTATATCTCAGAACTTGTCATACAGTAATTATTAAATAAGAAATTATGAATAGCCCTGGCCGATGTAGCTCAGTTGGTTCAGCATCATCCCATGCACCAAAAGATTGCTGGTTCAATTCCTGGTTAGGGCACATGCCCAGGTTGTGAGTTTGATCCCCACTATGGGACATGCAGGAGGCAGCCAGTCTGTATTTCTCTCTCACATTGATGTTTCTCTTTCTCCCTTCTTCTCTCTAAAAAAATCTATCTATCTGTCTCTCTGTCTATCAAAGTTATGAATAAATAACTGAATGGAAATGAATGAATTAATGAAACAATTTTGTAAATCAACACAGAGTGCAGTTATTTTAACCTACAGAGAGTACAATAAAATTTTTCTTAATGGTTTTAGAAACAAATTTTTTTTCAAGTTCAGATTTAGCCAAGACCCTAAGTAGAAAGATTCTACGGATAAGATTCAGCTAGGTTTGAATTTAAAAGCTAGTGAAAATCACTATCTTATTTATCTTACTAGTTTCTTCTTCCTTCTCACCCTTTTATTATATTGCCAAACCCAACTTTGTGCCGTTACTAAATATCTTCTACTGCTATTATTTTATAAGATGTTCAACTCTAGTAGTTGGTAGCATTATTTCTCCTGGACATATTTCCACCAATAATGATCATTCCTTCTGTTTCATCTGCATGTTATAATACTGTTGGTTAAACTTAAAACAGTCAGAGTTGTTAGGTAGAACCACACTTAAATATAAAACAAAAACCAACACCTAATGTCAGCAGAATACCAATATTTAAAATTAAAAAAACTTCAACTTTATTGCACAACTGAAGGTCAATGACTTTCAGCAATAGATATTGAACAGGAAAATCCTTCTATATATCTATTGCTAGAAAATGGTAGTGTAAAAATATCATGGCTGATATATAAAAATGTTTTGAAGATTCATTGGCATAACTACACAATTCCGTTTCTTGGCATTTACTCTAATTAAATAGGTTAATGTAAATCTCACCCTTTGTGACATTCCTCTCAAATTCAATGTTTATAGTAATCATTTAAGGCTTAAAAGAGACGTAGTTGAAAAATAGAATATAGCAGGTATCAGAGTTGTGCTTATGTTAAATCAAAGAAACATATTTAAAATGATTCCTCCTCCTGCCTCCAGAACATTTACCAAAGTTCCAAGTTAATCACTTGAGGATTAGATTTTAATATTAGTGTTAAGATATCAAAAAAAATTGTAACAATCTTTTAAAAAGTATTTCCACCAAATAAAATTTTTCATAGATACTTTGTTCTCCTACTGAAAGATAAGTCTGTGGTTTTAGGTAAGTTTACTAGATAGAAGTTTCTATCAAGTAAATATTTAAAATTTTTAAATTATGTAATATTAAATTATTGTGCCAGAATGAGGACAAGGACATTTAAAATGGTTCTCAGTTCATCATTTTGGCTTTTTGAAGAACAGCTTGACATAGTATTAATTATTAGGGATCAATATGGTTACCAGGCCTTCATGAGAAATATGTTTGTTGACCTTAATAAATCTTCCAGTGTGTAAATACAGAAATATTTGTACAGGCAATTTTCTGCTGAATTACATTTCTTCTGTGCACATTCTTATACCACACTATATGTTTTTAACAACTTACACCAAAGGTTTGATATAATGGCAGTCACATTTTTTAATTGCTTCACAATGGTTATTTTTATATCTAGTTATTTGATCATCATTATCCTTATCATGATTAATCTGCATTTAAATCTTTTGAAAACTTTTTGCTTCTATAAATAATGTTGTAATGAATAAAGCTTTTGCTTAGAATAAATTGCCATCAGAGGAATTACAAGTTTGAAAATACTTATGGCTATTGACAAATTCCATATTTTTTTAAGGAACCAGAGAAAATTTCTGTGCTAAAAATATAAAAAGAATCAGCAGCTAAACTGAATTCATACATCTAATTTAAAATGGTAGGTCACCCCCAATTTGCCAGTGGGTAATATTGCAAAGGTTCTATTCTAAATGGTTAGTATTAAATTTGATATATATTTACTTAGTCATGAAGGTGGCACAAAGTTCTCAGCTGCACACACAAGGAGATTTAACCTTTAATATACCTAAAGAATACTCGTAACAAATACTGGTTCTCTTTGGATGCTTCTAAATGTTGAGTTCCTTGCTCCTGTCTTTTCCTCTTTCCTTCTCTCTGTTATGAGTGTTTTCTGTGAGTGCCACCACTCTGAACCTTTGGACAAATGTCTTCGACCTATTTGAGCAGTAGGGCCTGAAGAAAGGTAAAAGGGCTGGGAACCTGGAAGAAGGTTCCTGGAATGCTGTATGGAGCCTTTCAGGACTGGATACTTCCTAAAGCATTAGGGAAGGAAGTCTGGAAAAGAGAGGGAACAGAATTTAGACAGATGATAATAAATCAATGCAAAAATAAAAATAAATAAAAAACCTTCATCAAGAAAGAAAATGATGAAATCTAAGGAGCATATGGTTGTCTGGGGAAGCACCTTTTAGGTTTTATTATTTTTCTGCAATATATGATATAATACTTTTAGATCATTCAAATGATAAGAAAATTCAAAAATAATTTAAAATGATTTTAATGAAATATATCTACATATTTATCTTCTAGAAACTACAAGATGATTCACTAGAAGAAAATCTACTTTTAGCTCAAGAGTATCAGAAATTACAGATGATTTTCTTAACAGAAAAGGACAATTATTTCAAGCTATATGCTAGACAGTTATCACTTGATTCTTCAGTTCGAGATAAAAAACAGGTAGTTTTTTGTTTTTGTTTTTTTAAATAATGATTTACTTGACATATATAATGTAAAAAGTACCAAGTGGTCAGTCATGGTTTTCAATCTGATGGAGGTCCTTTATATGTCACCAAATGGCATGTTTTCTTTTTGTAGAGTTTTGTTGTATATTTTATCAACCTTTTGAAATTTAATTTTGAAAGGATACTCAGGAAATAAAAATCTTGGTTTCTGTTCAACATTTTATACTACTTTGCTTTTAATGATTATGATCTGGAATACCAAATTTTTTTAGTTCATACATTTAAGTATTTTATCATAGACTTCAAATTTCAATTTTATCTATAGGTAACTTCCCATGAGACATCTCTAAAGCCTCCTCATGATATATGGGCTTCAAAGTTTGGTTTCTAGTTTCTTTTAAATATGGGGCTTAATTAGACACTTGGAGAAATAGTTGACCCTCTCTGGTTCCTGGAAATCCTTGGGAATTCTAATATATTTTGTAAAATCTTCTGCAATAATGTAACTGGAAAAGCAAAACATACAATGTATCACAATAAAAAGAGAATAGAAAGCTTTATTACTAGAGTGTTAAGATGTAGCTACTTCCTCTGTATTCTTCTCCAGACTGTCATGGACAAGAAAAATTATTTTTCTTTGATTCTTTGTTTCTTTCCAGAATTTAAATTGCAAAAAAATAGATGCATGATTATTTTTTTTAACAATTTATCTAGCCATTAGAACCAGTAGACTGCTAATGGATCCTTTGTCTTACTCTTTCACCCATGTTACTGTAATATAAATTAGCAGTTTAAAATTCCACTACAATATTTATTTTATTTATGGAATATTGGGAAGACAGACGGCCAGGATTTGAGTACAAGCTCAACTGATACTAGCTCAGTGATCTTGGCAAGTAATTTACCTTTTCTGACTTCAGTTTTCTCACCTGTAACATAAAATTTACCTCAGAAGAAAATGGATAAGGAATACAAAAGATACATCTATAGTTACTTTCAAATTAATGGGATACTATGCAAGTATAAATGACTATTACATTCATCTGGTACACTGCTTATAGAGCCCCCCTCTCAGCCATCTATTCTTAATGCAAGTTAATGCTTATTGGGAGAAAGAGTCTGTATTTTTCTCTTAAAAATTTGTATTGAAGCAGTAGCAAGATGAAGGTAGATCAATAAATAAATGTGTTTAGGAAAAAATAGAGAATACAATTTATACCAAAACCTAGTGTCTTTAGTGCAGCATTCAAAGATAGGGTGTATCCATGGAGCATCTGTCTAATCACTTCATGCATTTGACATTGTTATTGAGGTTAAACATGTTCTATTTGTTGCTGGGAATTGAGGAGGAGAAAATCACTTGCTATACTGTATTTCTTTTTCTAACCAGGTGGAAAAGAAAAAACTTATGCATACTTGTTATCAGTTTGTATAGATTCCTTAGGTGGCAAATAAATGTTAGATACCTGTACAAATAGTGAAAATTCAGGCCTTTAAGAGATTTCTAACATAGTATTTGCATAGTAAGAACAAAATTGTCTTCATGGCGTTTTGGACTTAAAGCAAATCTTGACTCAAGATCCAAGGAGCGAGACCCTAGTATGAATAGACAGTGGGGCATGCTAGGAGACTGGGTTTATGTTTGTGATGAACCCTCAAACGAATCACTTTTAGCACACCTGTTTCAGGGAAACTTTCAAAGATTTATTTGTACCTCCAATCATTTTTCATTTCCATCCTTCAGCGATGGAGGTCATTAAGTGCAGGCTGCCCTTGTCAGTGTCATGTAGGATCAATTTGCTGCAATGGACAGAGAGGCCTTATTGATGCTGTTAAATCTGTCAGTGAGAAATCGTATGTCATTAGCGTCTAATGCACTGCTTACAGGATGGAATTTGGCCATCAAAACTGCAAAAACCCTTCAACATTTTAGTCTATTTCCTTGATATTGCAATATTTCCCATAGACATAGATTTTAATCTTATGACTAGCTTAGTTTTAGATGCACAAAAGCACTGTTCATCCCTGATTCCCTTGACAGATAAAATAGATTTCACTTTTAGGAATTTTTGTGTATCTTTTTCCTATTTTAGAATAATTTCAATGCTTTTGAACTTGCATTCCTTTTGGCATGGTAAGTAATTATATTTTAAGTACTATGCTTCTTAGGGAGTATTATTCTCTCTGCACAAATTATACATTTTTTCATATTTCTTTGTGTTTTTACACCACAAGTAGCAAGGAAAACATAATAGAGGAACAAAACAAATTAAATATAAAAAATAAGAATGTTCTCTTCCTTAACAATTTTATACACAGATACTTCAAATGCTAGAATGTTATAGTGTTACTCTTGGTGATAAAATTATTTCTGCTCCTTCTGCATGTGCTTCTTGATGCTTTCCTGCATTTTTAAAATTTACAGTGATGGATGTCTTCCCCTTTAAAAATCAGAAACAAACAAAAAATGATTATGCAAAAATTCTTGCCATGTTAATGGATAATGATAGAATAGAACCCAGTCTAAAACTTATCAGATCTCAAAGTTTAAAATAGCACTAAAGAAGAATGAAGACAAATGTCTGAAAAACAGGTTGTACTTCTATGTGAAAATAGACATTTTCATCAAAAGCTTTCAAATCGGTGTTTTATACTTTCTTTTTTTAAAAAAAAATCCATGAATATATTGAGAAGAATCACCATGTGTTATAATTGCTATTTCAGTTCTTCAGGCCTGCAAAGAAAGGTAAGCTAAAAAACACTGATCTCTTCTGTTGTCTGGAAACAAGATCTTTTCCGAAACTGGTTAAAATATATTTTTAATTCTTTTGTAAATCACTTGTAAAGTTTTAACGTTGCCTACTCCAAAACTCAGTGCAATCAAACTAAGAGAATACAAATTATTACAGAATCAGTCAGTGCTCAGCAAGCATTTCTGTGGACCAGGTATCTGTGCCATGTAGTTTGCAAACATCGTCTGTGTGACATATCTCCGTAATCCTGGAAAGTGCTCTATTATTGTTATTATATTTGTTATCTCTAATATAAGGCATGCAGGTGAGATTGAGTGTGTCATAAGGTCATCCAAGTAGAGGGAGACTGACTGAGATGGGAAGTATTTTATTGCACTGCTAGTTATTTTGCATTTATTGAAGTTAGGCTTGAGTGGTGGTTTTCGTACGCTTGTTTCAGTGTAAATAAAAATGTATTTCTTTCACACTGGCCAGTTTGACTCAGCTGTTGGAGTATAGACCTGAAGACAAGAGTCATGGGTTCCATCCTGGTCAAGGCACGTAGTTTGGTTGGTGGGGGTTGTGTGGGGGTCAGCCAATCAATGTTTCTCTCTCTCCCTCTCCCTCTCCCTTTCCCTCTCCCTCTTCCTCCCTTTCCCTGTATCTGAAAATAAATAATAATAATAAAAAAAAAAATCCTCAGGTCAGGATTAAAAAAATGTATTTCTTTGCTAGGAAAGTCATCATTTTTAAAATAGTTTTTGCCTATAATTAAAGACCCTGTCAGTATCTTTGCCTCCCTTTCTTAGGACATAGGTATGTGCATACACGGCACACCAGCACACACACACACATTTGTCCTGAGGGAGTTACCACATTTTTAAGAATGATGAGCTTGCATTAAATTTCTACTGTTCCCATCATCTGAAGAACTGTCAAGAGATCTCTGAAGAGCTTTTGTAATCCCCAAGACAGGAGTAAATAGCTGGTTGTCTATTGTTTTACCTCAGTGAATTTCCCTTCTCTTGTCTAAACTGTTTAAGTGTTTATTTCTAGCTATTACTTTAGAATGGTCAGTACTCACTTTGAGTGAATTGTGGACTTATATATTTTTTATGCAATTTTAGATGATCTGCTGGAGTTGCATAGCAATAACCAGTTTTTAAAAAATTTTAAATATGTTTTTATTGATTTTTTTAGAGAGAGAAAGAAACATCAATGTGAGAGAGAAACATATATTGGCTGCCTCCTGCACTCCCTCTACTAGGGATGGAGCCCACAACCCAGGCATGTGCCCTGAACTGGAATCGAACCAGGACCTCTTAGTCCATGGGGTGAAGCTCAATCCACTGAGCCACACCATCTGGGTAATAAGTAGTTGTTTAACGTTAACAACACAACAGCACCTTAAAAGTGATGTATAGACTGTGATGAGATCCCTGATATAGCAGACATTCAAGTTAAATTTTTCATACATTACATTATATATATATGTATTAAATATATGTAATATTTATAAATATTCATATATATGTAAAATCTTTTATTCTCCACTGAGGGCTATTTTGTTCCCCAGGGGATATGTGGATATCTGGCAATGCCTGGAGATATTTTTGCTTATTACACCTGAGAGGGGTTGGGGTTGATGGTTGGGTGCAATGCTCTTGGTATCTAATGGGTAGAGACCAGGGATGATGGTAAAAATCTGACAATGCACATGACGGCCTACACACACACGTGCGTGCACACACACACCCCCCAAAATTTTTTCCAGCCCCAAAATGTCCATAGAGCTATGGCTAAGAAACCCTAATATAGTGAGAATAAGAGATTTAGACATATAAAACACACTGCAAGCCATATCTCCTTTTTAAAGACTTAAACTGTATTTGCATATTAAAAATCTGAGAAATACTATTTTAAGAAACTTGTTAATTTCATTACCCCTAAATTTTCTATTGTTCTGTAACCCTTTCTTAGGAAACCTATTTATAACTAATTGACTTAGTATTTAGTAGATTAAGTCTTGGAAAATGTTATTCTATATAGGATAGGAGAAAATTTTATGTTGTAAATCATACATTGAGAAAGTTTTGCTTACATATAACTTTGATAAAGAAGTAAAAGTGTTCTTCATATTACCTGTAAAGTTCTAGAAGAATTCAGAATATTTTCAAATAAATAGATTATGTTCTTTGGAATCAATACAGATTCAGAACTCTGACTTTTCTTAATGCCATACTGCAGCTATAAAATGAAATAA